TTGCACGCGATAAAGTAACTCGGCTCGCTCCTGCCGCACCATCGCACGAGAGGGATCGCAGCGCACGAGCGTCGGCAACGCTCCAAGCACCACCACACACAACAATTGCATCTTAATGGCATGTACACGCGTACGTGTACACGCGCAGCACACTACACAGCGAACAGAACGTATAAAAAGAGTTAAGAGAAATAAATATATAATGCTTCGCGTGAAATCATGTCATACACGATCGCTCGTAAGTGCGTGTATTACAATGCACCCACGTCCGTATAATCAAAGTAACAGACGAGCTTGAATGTTCAAAATATTGTATATACGTAAGTTCGTGCATGCGCGCGCGAGCTGTGTTACTCTACACGCTGGCAGTTGACGAGAGGCTGGAGGCTATATACATACGAGGTAGAGAGAGGAATAAAAGGCCAAATAGTAGGCCACAGTGTCTGCGTGTGTTGCGGAGTGGAGAGAGAGAGAGAGAGATAGAGTCTTTTCGACAAGGGACACGCGTTTACGGGAATCTCTCGTAGGAGTCGGAGTCGGTCGAGTCTGGCGGCGGCGTTGCATCAAGCATTCATGCGCGTACCGCACAACACCGCCTCTCTCTCTCTTTCTCTCTCTACTATACATGTATGAACGAACGAGCGGTTTATATATTCGGCAAACCGGGCATTAGGGACCTTTATGCATTGTATTATTTATGCGGCGCATACACTTAATATATACATATACGCACATACACGCGGGCTTGAGCGAGCGAGCGAGCAACGACAGGCGACATTGCAGCGGTTAACGTGTGTTACGTGACTTGTAATTGGACGCCCTCGCGCGCGCTCTTGTGTGCATTCTCTCTCGCACAAGCGCACACATACGCGCAGACACATTCGCCACGTGCATACACAGCTGTCGATTCGCTCGTGGAGCGCAGCATGATGGAGACCCCGACCAGAATTAATACTTCTCGGATAACCATATATGAAAACGCCTCCGCAACTCCGCGGGCACATACGGGCTACGATAATTTGTGTAAGCCAGCTTTCCTATATAGTATAGTGTAATACTACTGCACGAGTCCTGCCGCTACTGCTGCGGCATGGATGTATGTGACACAGATTTCAATGTGCGGTACTAAACAACGTACGTCGTGTGCGAAAACGCGTGGTACTTTGTACTTCGATGACTTTCATTGTTGCTCGGGATTCTGTAAGCGCGTTACAAGTCCCGAGTTCGCGCGCACGCGCGAGCGCAAAAAGCGCGTGTAAGTATATACACAAGAGACGACGACGATCAGAGAATCGAAAAGAGGGAAGAAGAAAGGAAAAAGGACTTTACAACGATATTCTCTGCACTTGGCGTGAAAAAAGCTCGAGATGCTTTTTTTACCTTCTTTTCCTTTACTTCGACTCGGCACATCTTACGTTTTTGTGTAATATGGCATTACAGCTGTACAAAAAGCTCTGAGAGCCGTTGCATTCATTCGTTCTTCGCGAGCCTCGCGCAGACATTTTTTGCCCTTCGCGCGCGCTCCGAGAGAGAAAGAAAAGAGCATAGCGTACATTATATACAAGAGGAGAGATCTGCCTTTCCAGGAATAAACACTTAAAATTAAAATTCTTCGTTGCTGCCGCGCGGCGCTCTCTCTCTCTCTCTCTCTCTCTCTCTCTGTATAGCTATATAACTATATATGCTTTTATAAATATATATTCGTTGAGCTGTTTTACAGGCCGCACGCGCGTCGACGCCGCCACCGCTGCGTCGCTGGTTATGTTAATTGGATTACTTTTTAAAATACCAGAGCTGATTGCAATTCGCCATTCAATTATATGCATATACTCACGTGCACACACACACACACACACACACACACACATACATGTTGAGCCGCATGGCCGCCACACGTGTAATATTTAGCTGCGCCTGACTACATATGCATGTTACCTGCCACCGCTGCCGTTGCCGCTCGCGAGAGCGTAGCATTAATATAATTACGTAAGAGCTCGTACACGTATACCAAATGTGCAGCGCCGGCACATGGAAGATATAATATTTTTTTTTAGCCACAATGCGAAACGTATAGAGGAAAAGGAAAAGGAGAAAGAGAGAAAAAAAGAAGGAGAGAAAAGTTACTCACAAATCTCGGGTATACATATAAGGCAATTCGACGCGATCGATTTTCCATTTTCTTTGGTATCATAAGGCAAAAACTAATTAATCTTGGCTTTATAAGAATTAGCAGCAGCCTCGCTCGCTGCGGGCGATACAGCGCATTAAAGCTCAGCAGCTCTCTCTCTCTCTCTCGCGTGTTCACCACCCAATAATCATTCGAAGCTTTGCGCGCGTAAATATGAGAACTCGTTATACGCGTGAGTTATAGTATGTATGTGTGTGTGGGGGAATAAAAAAGCTCTCTCGATGCAGTGAGTGAGCTTGCAGCCGCGTCGAAGGTTGGAAAAAAAACAACAACAAGAAACGATATAAAAAACAAAAAAATAAAAGAGAAACATGGTAAGCGTAAAAAAAGTTAAAAACTCTGAAAAGTTCCTCGCACGAGCAAGCACGAAACTGTAAAAGGTAAGTCAAAAGGGCCCCTGGTTAAAGGAAGACGTGTGTGTGTGGGTAAAAATCGATTTTCTCATGGTGTAGCCCATGTGTCGATCAATAATTTTTTCATATTCACCCTTGGGAAGCAGAATAAAATATGAAAAATCAAATCAAAAAGGGGGAGGGGGGGGGGGTAGTTGACGCGATATAGCCCATTTATATTTTATGTGGCTATATGCATAACACGTGCAAAATCAAGTCAAGGGGTCATTACGCTCTGAAGCAGCAGCAGCAGGAGCAGTAGCAGTGCAGTTAAGTCACAGAACGAGCACGAGAATATGTATATTTTTGTGTAAACATTGGCGTAATTATCGTTGACCGTGTAAAACTCCAGCCCTACCTCTCGACGCGGTTCTTTTTTTTCTTCTCTCTCTCTCTCTCTCTCTTATTTTTTTTCTTCATAACTCCGGCTCGTTAGAAAACGCAGGCAATTGGAAATTGCTTCTCTCTCTCTTTTCTTTTTTTCTCTCTCTCCAGTGCATACATGCACGTGCCTTGAAAAATCCTCATCCCTGGTTACACACCGCGTGGCGTTTTACACATCGGTCCGCCGCCGCGTACACAGTATAAATCTTTCTCTCGCTCTCAAGTTGCAGCGTGGCCTCGTACCGCGTATTACGACTTTGTGGGAGTGCGCTTCGTCACATCCACCACCACAACTACTATTATGCGTATAATGCCGGAGAGCAATTAAAGAATAAAAATATTTTCAACTCCTCGCGCGCAGCTCGCGAAAACGTGTTCGAAGAAAAGAGCTAGCAGCTATAGAGCCTTGCCCTCCCAGCATCGTGCAGCGTGTCGCTGCACTCTCGCACGCGCGCTATAAGAGGCCGTAAAAAAAAAGTTTTTGCGCGCTCGCAAGTCCGGAATAGTTATGCAAGCTCGTCGTGCAATATTCGCTCTCAGCGAAACAGAGTAGCGAGTGAGCGAGAGATAGCATACGTACACGCGCGAGAAGTTACTTTTGAAGCGTATTATACACACACACAGATATGTTTCATATAAAGTGTGTGTGAGTGTGTGTCACGCGAAGATAGCCGCGTAGACGACGTTATATGCTAGCTGCTGCTGCACCCTTTTCCGGCGCCTAGGCGCGCATTATATACAACGCGATATACGTATACATATACAATTATAAAAATTCTCTCTCATGACCTGCGCGCGCGCGGAGAGCAGAGTAGAGCAGAGTAGAGAGAGAGACACATTCCGCAGCAACATAGCAGCGTAGCCTCGCGGAAGTATAACAGTTCTCTGGCCTCTCGCAGAAAATGTTTCCACGCGCCCGCGCTTAAAGCTGTGCACTTTGGGGATTTATATATATCGCGCGCCAGTGTCGACGGCGGCAATGCGACTCATTCGACAGTTATAATACCTCTCTCTCTTCTTCTTCTTTTTTTTTTTTTTTTGGTTCTCTTTCTCGCTCGACTCTTTGTGCATATATACGCGCGCGCGCGAGAGAGAGCACAAAAGCATTCGACATCAGCAGCAGCAGCCCTTTTGCTTCAAGCCAAACATTGTTATGCGTTCGCGCTTTTAAGTCAACTTTTCCTCTTTACTCGTCGTCGTCGTATTCAAGCCTTTCTCTTTCGAACGCATACGTGTACGACGTACGTACGTATGAAATCGCGCGTTTGGGAACATCAAGGTTTCCGCAAGCCACGGCAGAATTGTCGCGTGGAATGGGCTAAAAAACTTCCCTTTTATTATATTATGCGCAGGACAGACGACCGACCATAAACTTATGAATATTTACGTTCCGAACGAGCGAGCGCAGACCAGCGAGCGATGGTCGATTTTGCTCCCGACGATGTATTATTATTTTTTTTTTTTTTTTATATAACGTTTGCGGAAAAAAATAAAATCGATGTACCGAGAGAGATATATTGGAGGAGAGAAAGAAAGAGTCGGGAGCCAACCGACCAAAACACGGTCGTCGCCGTCCAACTTGACTCGATTTTGACCAAGGGATGGAGAAGAGAGAGAGAAAAATCGCGCTTGCACACGAACTACAATGAACTTTGCTTACACTTCTCGGCTGATCTTTTTTTCGTTAGTCCTGCTCCTCTCGCTATTTGCCTTTATGGAATTTTTACGCGAGAGACCACCGAACACAGTTCGATATGGCAGGAGAAAAGAGTATGTACAACGCGTACGTGCAGTGCGGTCGTAAAAAAATCCGATCGCTCGCGCATTTATACGTGATTGCTTTTCGGCAGGACGCGCTTGTATCAAGCACACAGTGCGCACCGCCCATGGTATATGCAAATCGACTCTTTCTGGACTGTGGGCAGCAGGGGGCAGCCCCTGCCACATATACGAATAGAGGCAGAGAAGCGCGGGAAAATATTGGAAAAAGTCAATATTATTTTACGGGAGTTGTTTTTTTATTTTTGTTCACTCACCTTCGTCGTCGATGCCGAAGAGTCCGACGCCGTCGCCTCCGCGGATGCTGTAGCTGATGCGCGAGTCGATGCCCGGCGCGTCGGCGTCCTTGGCGCGCACTTGCGTCACCAAACTGCCGACGGGCTGATTCTCGTAGATCGTGGCCGAGACCACGAAATCACTGAACACCGGCGCGAACACGTTCTCGTTCACGTCGACGATCTCGACGATGAGGATCGTCTCGGAGCTGAGAGCTGGCTCGCCCTTGTCGCTGGCTCTGATGGTCAGAGTGTGCACTTGGCGGTCTTCGAAGTCGAGCTTTTGGATCGTTCTCACCGTGCCCGAGAGCGGATCGATCTCAAAGAAGCCGCCACCGTCGTTGTCGAGGTCCTCGCTGAAGCTGTAGACTATGGTGCCACCGAGACCCTCGTCCGGGTCGGTGGCTTCGACGATGGCCACGACGCTCCAGATGGGCACGTCCTCGCGCACTTTGACGGTGTAGCTGTTGAGAGCGAAGGCAGGGGCGTTGTCGTTGACGTCGTCCACGTAGACGTGAACCAACGCCTCGGAGTAGAGCGGCGAGTTTTCCAAATCGACGTCTTCGCTCTTCGAGTCGTCACCACCGTTTCTGTCCGTAGCTCTGATCCTCAGCTCGTACGAATCTTGACGCTCTCGATCCAGCTTTCCATTGACACTGAGAACTCCCGTGGAGCGATCGATGTAAAAGTCCGCTGTATCCGTAACTAACGTATAGGCGATCTTCGCGTTGTCACCCAAATCTGGATCCGTAGCATTAGCGCGAAAGATGACGGTTCCATTAGCCACGTTCTCGGGAATTCTAAAACTCGCCAGTGCCTTTTCGAACTTGGGTGGATTGTCGTTGACGTCGAGCACCGTGACGGGCAGCATTCTCGAGGCTGACTTTTGAGGTTTGCCGAGATCATATACCGTGATGTTGAGGAAATACTCGCTCTCGCGCTCGCGATCCAGTCGACCGATGACCCTCAACTCGCCGCTGTCCGGATCGATCTCGAAGACGGAGTCTCTGTCACCGGCCGATATGCCGAACACGAGCTTGCCGTTGTAGCCGAGGTCGCGATCCCGCGCCACGAGTTTGGCCAAGACCGAGCCCAGTGGGGCGGACTCGTTGACTCGTATCTCGTTGGGAAGATCGACGAATTCGGGTGCGTGGACGTTCTCGCCGTAGCGGCTGGGCATCGGGGTGTACTCGTCCTCGGCCGAGGGCATGTTGTTCTTCTCGGCTTGGGCGATGGCTTCGGTGAGACGTCGGGCTACTCCGGTGTCGTGGCACTGAAAGTTGCCCGTCTCGTCGGCGAGCAGTTTGGACTGCTGCTGGCCGCTTCCGGGATTTCGTTTGCCGTTGACGAGGTTGATGGCGATGCTGTTGACGTCGGCGAAGTGCGTTCCGTCGGTCGCAGTGACGTTTACGATGCGTTCGGCGGACTTGAGATCGGCGAGATCGCAGGCGACCGACAGTACACCGCTGGTTTGGTCGAGCGAGAAGCAGCCGTCGCCGTTACCCGAGACGATCTGATAGCTGATGATATTGCCCGCGTCGAAGTCCATGGCCGACACGGTGATGATCTCCGTGCCCACGGGCGAATTCCTAGCCAACTGTCCGACGCAGTCGACCTTCTCGAACTGCGGCCTGTTGTCGTTGACGTTTCTCAACCTGACCCTCAACTGCATCTCGCTCTGCCTTCGATAGGGCAGTCCCCAGTCGTTGGCCCTCACGTGCAGCAGATAGTCCCTCTTCATCGTCTCGTAGTCCAAGAGCTGCTTGGTCCTGACTATACCCGAGAAATGATCGATCTCGAAGGGCACGCGCTTGATGTTGTCGATGCTGTACGAGATGTAGGCGTTCTCGCCCGAGTCCCGATCCTTGGCCACCACACGGACCACGGACGTGCCCGCGGGCTCGTTCTCGTCCATCTCGACCGTCATCGAGTCGTGCTCGAACTCCGGATCGTTGTCGTTCGTGTCGATCACGTAGACCTTGACCTTGGCCGAGGACTGCTTGCGCGTGCCGCTGTTGCCCTGATCCACCGCCGACACCGTGAGCGTGTAGAAGGCCTTTTTCTCGAAGTCCAGGGGCACGGCGGTGTAGAGCATGCCGGTGTCGGCGTTGACGTAGAACTCGCCGCCCTCGTTGCCGCCGACGATCTCGAGGAAGACCAGGGCGTTCTTGCCCTGATCGGCGTCGCTGACCTTCAGTCGGATGATGGGACTGTTGACGGGGGCGGTCTCGGGCACCTTGACCTCGTAGATCTCGCGACTGAAGATCGGCGCGTTGTCGTTGAGATCGGCCAGGTGGACGGGCACGGATTTGTAGCTGGAGCGCGGGGGCGTGCCGCGATCCGTGGCCCTGAGCGTCAGATTGTAACCCTGGGGCGCCGTCTCGCGGTCCAGCAGCTTGAGCACTTGAATACTGTACTCGCCGCTCTCGCTGTTACTCAGAGGCCGCACGCGGAAATGTCCGTCCGGATCGCCAGCCACTATGTCCAGGCTGGCTATCTGTCCGTGCGGGCCGGGGTCGCGATCCGTCACCCGGACTATGGCGTAGGTGTCGGCGTTCGAGTGCTCCATTATCTCGGGCAGATGGCGCACGGATATTTCCGGCGCGTGCAGATTCACCTGCTGCACGTGTATGGTCAGTTTGGCGCTGCTGGCGCGCGGCGCGTTGCGGTAATGGACGCCACGGTCTCGAGCGAGTACCGTCAGATCGTAGTCCGATTTTTCCATGAACCTGTAACACGAATCACACAAAAAAAAGGTCGGGGTTATAGTTCAATGTCGAGCTTTCGCGATGTAAAATAAAAAATGAAACGAAATCTTACCTAAGCGGCCTCGTGAGACTGACCACGCCGCTGACCGGATGAACGGCGAACTGTTCCGTCTTCTCCGAGAAACTGTAATAAATCTCTCCGTTTCTGCCTAAATCGGCATCCTCGGCCATGACCTTTATGATACTACGATGTACGGGCGTGTCCTCGGTCACCGTGATCTCGTACTCGGTCGGATAAAATAACGGATTCAGATCGTTCGTATCCAATACGGTGACGGTGACGCTCGTCTGCGCCTCCATCATCAAATTATTATTATTATTACTTTGTTGTTGCCTATTTTTGCCACCTCCGTGATGTCTCCTGGCGCTCGCCCTGATATCCAGCACGTATTTGTCCTTGCGCTCGCGATTCAGCACGTCGAGGGTACCCGTGCGCATCCTCAATAACAGGAAGCAAAAGTCCCCCACGACCCGCTCCTCGGCCTTGAAGAACTTGTCCTTGTCGCCGGACACGATGCGAAACTTGATCTCGTCGTAGAGGCGTCGATCGGCGCCCTTCAGCTCGATGCCCATCTTCTCCTCGGGCGTGACGTAGGTCTTGCTCATGGAGTTCTCCGGGATCGAGACGTTGTAGTGCGACGAGGTGAAGCGGAACCTGTGCTGGGCGGCATTCTCGTGCTGATTGATGGCGCTGGTCTGCTGCTGCTGTTGCTGCTCTTGCTGCAGTAGTTGCGGTGGCGGCGGCCGACCGGTCGTGGGCAGTGGAATCTTGGCTTTACGCGCGAGCTGCCTAGTGGTCAGGCGAGGCGTAAAGCTGCCGCTGCTTTTATAACCACTACCAGCCAACGGTATCGCGAGGTTCAGGGCGATCGGGCTGTCGTCGAGTCGTCGCTCGAGGTCCGCGCTCGACGTCGGCGAGCAGCCAACGCCGATCGATGCCCCGAGCAGCAGTAGCAGTAGTAAGAGTAGCCAGCAGTGGTGCCAAGGGCGGCTGTGTTGGTGTCTCGGGTGCAGCACGGTAGGCGCGGCGCCGGTGGACGAAGCCACCCTCGCCGTCACCACCCTCTGCTGCTGCTTCTGTCTCACCATGATTTTTGTGCTAGCTCATTGTCGAGTGACGAAAATTTTGGGCTGGATGGAGAGCTCAACTCTGATTCGAGTCGATCTCTCATCTTCTTGACAAGCTGTAACATTCGGAGAAAACGATTTGTGCGTTAGCGAAACTTATCTTTTGTTATAGTGCATAGTTTGAGAATTGAATTATAAGCAAAATGATAAAAGCTAGTGGACGCAAAACATCGGACATTCTATAAATATATTGCAAAAGATCAGAAGCCCGTTACGGGAATTGCTCTGGCAAGATTTAAGAATGATATATGTAACAGTTTTTCTGCTATACACGAGCACGTGGGATTATCGAGCTATCATCAGCTCTTTCTCTCGACGCATACTGCGAAGACGGCGAGAACAGGAAATATATACGACGATATGGGACACGTATCGGACTTGCAGATATATAGCAGTATTATTATATACATACAAGAGCAACAGCGGGGGTCTTCCGCGAGTGGGTGGAAAGATTAGAGAAGAGCAGCCGAAGCAGCAGTCGAAGCACAGCAGCGGCAGCTCAACGGCGACTAACCGTGAGAATGTTATCGGGATCATGTTTTGCCTGCGGGTGAAAGCCAACCTTCCTCTTCGCGGACTTGCGCGCCCATTGTTATCGATGTATCAATAAGCTGCGATGCTGCTGTAGCTGTAGCTACTGCATCCACGTTTATATGGCAACGCTGAATATATATACAACAATGTTACACGCAGGGCTTTGGAGCAGCAGCTCCTTTGGGCAACTGTATATCGCGTATAATGCAGGCGCGCGTGCGACGATCTCTGCTGCTGCTGCTGCCCTCGCCTCGCTTCCTTCGCTGCTTCGATCGATATCCCTTCGATTTTCTCGGGCGCACACGGCACGTATTATTACATTCAAACACACACACAAGTACGGACTCGCTTTGGTGTATATAGTAGTATTATTTACCATTGACTGGCGCCTGGGCCGTTTCACCCCCTTATCCAGGACAGCTTCGCTCGACTGCACACTCCATTACATGCCATTATATAGCCGTGCGGGCGCGCGCGCACACCACCGCTTGTATACAACTTTCTTTTAATTTCCGCTTAGCTCTGTTTTTTCCGTACACGTGTTGTTCGTGCGTGGCGATTTACTTTTTTTTTTTTTTTTAGTAAATAAAACCAGCCAACTATTGTACGAATGCCAAACGAAATTTAAAACTTGGAAATAAATCACGCGCGTTCATTTTTTGAATTATATTTCGGTTATACGAGCTATAGGTCAAAAAATCTCTCAACTTTTTTTCGAACCTCAAAAAAAAAAAAAAAAAACTCAACTCTATCGTAAAGCGCGTGTTGGAATTTTCCAAAGAACCTCTGCTGCTGCAAAGTGTAAGAAACCAAAAATAAAAGGGTACAAGGAGCTCACTGTGCTCGGGATTAAGGATTGAGCTAGTGAGCAGTAATTTAAGGGAGCGATTACAAGCAGCACGGCGCAGCACGGCGTAGAAAAAAAAAAATAAAAAGAAGAGAAGGGTAAAAACGAGGAAAAGTATAAGAAATAAAAAAAAGAAGTAGTAGAAGCATTACCCCGGAAGAAATTTATTTTCGACCAATCGAATTTTTATAACAAACCCAAGTGTATGGTATATAGAGAAACATTACGTTTCGAGGAGAGAGAGAGATAGAGAAGTTAAGCGAGAAATAGTAGTGGCCATCCGTCTGTCTATAAAAATAAAATCGAGGAGAAAATTATCATGAAGCTCGCGAGCCGGTACTGACCGAGAGAAAAACGTTTATTTTTTCAATAAACATTAAACGTCGCAAAAGAAGAAGAAGAAGAAGCTATAGCCGATAAAAACCGCTGCTAAATATTTTTCCGACTTCTTATCGGTCGTCGCCATCGCGTAGCCCGTCGGAAATTTCCGATAATAAAGAAATAGCGCGCGGCGCGGCGCGAACCCCGATGAAAAAGCAATTGGCGCTTTTTTTTTTTTTTTGATCCACCGTCACATCACACACAGGTAGTAAGTATGTGTGTGGCGAGCGTCTTATATAGCGGCTTCCGCAATAAAGAAGCTCTGCTGCTGCTCGGTCATAGCGGCCCACAAGCAATATTCCAGAGGAAATTTGTTGGACGAATAAAATATCAGAAAGCAATTAGTAAAGAAAAGGCACGTCTGTGCACTAGAGAGAGAGAGAGTAACAGAGAGAAAGAGAGAACTGCTCCTCTCTTCTCGCGTTTAATCTAGCGGTAGAGCCGGAGAGGATCATTAGTGAGCTCCGGGGTTTAATGAGATAGATCGAGAAGTAAGCAAGATAAGCGCTTTACACGCAGAGGGTCTTAGTATAGCAGTAGTAGTCGCGCAAAAATCAAAGACGAGCGACGGCGGCGACGGCGACGGCGCAATCCAAAAATTATTTATAAGCACGTGAAAAAAAAAATTGTCGAGCTGTACATATTTTCCAGCAGTCTTTTTACCGTATATTAAATGCAAATAAGAGATGCACGTTTTTCAGGATAAATAAAGCGACTCAAAGAGAGAGAAAAAGAGGAAAGAATCGTCCAAACGAAAAGTTCGCGAATTGAAAAGATATGCGCGACGACGACTGCTCTTTCGCTAAAATTTTCATGAATCCTCGTTGGCCTCCCGAGATTAACCTTCTTTTTTTTTTTGAGCTTTTTTTTCTGAGCTTTGCCTTTGGATGATCCTCGTGCGCACTGCTCTCCGCGACTCTAGCTGCTTTCCTTTCTTTCTCTCTCTCTCTCTCTCTCTCGCTTTCTGTCTTTATTTCGTCGTTGATGGCGCTAAATGAAAACATAGCTAATTAAACAGGGCCATACGCAGTTAGATTATGCAAATTGCTCTGGGCTAGTCTAGATGGGCTCTCTGCGCTCTTTATGCCACTTTTAAGAGCTCTCCCACTCGGAGAAAGCCCGATGCTGTTGCCGCTGCTGTCCTTCTTTATATATATCTCGTATGTATATTCAGAGATGGCTAAAGCCGGGTACAGAGAGCCCCGGAAGAAGCTGGAGGTTGGGTGGGTAAGTTACGTGGGTAAGAGCTCCTCGAGAGGGGGAGAGGACATTACCTTTGATACCCTAACCGTCAAAGAAATTTAAGAGTGTTTCCTCGACGAGGTTCCAACGAGCAGCCAGAGAGAGAGAGAAAGAAAAGAGGACCATTCCCATGATATTTGCACGACGGTAATCGTAATCGGTAAAACTTTTAAATTAAGGCTCTCTCCTCTTTTTCGTAGCCCGCGTCTTTCGCTGCGGACTTTACTAAGTTATATACCAGGCGGCCGAGAGCCAGTCAGCAGCTTCTGTCTGCCCGCTGCACTGCTGCTAGCTGCTGCTGCAGCCGACCCCTCCACCGCCTAGGTTCAAAGTGTACCTTGTATTATATACGTATACTGTACGCCTAGGCGTGGGAGTTGCTGCTTCTTTTTCGCGCTCTCTCTCTCTCTCTATCCGAGAGAGTCTTTCTCTCCGAAGTAGCTGCGGAATAGAATTCTATGCTTTTTACGGCCGCAGCAGCAGTAGTAGCTAAGGTAATAGTAAAGCCGTGTGCCCTTCGTACACTCGCCGCAACGCCACGTACTATACTAGCTCTAGCAGCAGCAGCAGCAGCAGCAGCAGAATTAAGCCTTGGGAACTTGGTAATTTGCTGCTTTTTGCTCATAAATTGACTCGTGCACACCCGAGAGCTTGGCCGACAACGCCGCGCGAAAAAGCAACAGCTTTTAACGGATGTACGAGGAGTGAGAAAAAAGTCCGCGCTAGAATATGTATATTTAGACGACGACAATGCATAATGACGCGCTCGAGACAATTTACATTTTCGAATTGACTTTTTCCATACGACGTAAATGCATAGAATGACAGAAATCCCTATGTAAATTTCTACGGGATTATTGAGTTACTTTTTCCAAAATTTTTATTTCAAAACCTCACGTACCTACTACTACCACTACTACTACTACTACTTCGTTACACGCAGTTCTGCGGCGCGTCCACTCTATAATAATATAATGTAGAGGAGTTTGCGTCGCGCGCGCGAGCTTGCACCGCGCGGTCAGCTCATTCTCGAGTCAACCCTCTAGTCCAAATTGATCATCATTAAGTATGCTGATTTAATTTTACACAGCACAGCGGCGCAGCAGCTCGGCCGCAGAGACGGGGGCCGGAGCGTCTACTTTGTGCAGCAGCCGTGGTGCACCTTTTCGCGTACAAATTCATCAATTATTATATTCTCTTGATTTGCCGAGAGAGAGAGAGAGAGAGAGAGAGAGAGAGAGAGAGCAAGCTAGTTCGCAACTTTTTGCGTGCTCCTAAGCGAATCATTTGCATTCGCATTTATATGTACACGAGAGAAAGAAAAAGGGACCGAGGAGAAAAAGTTCATATTTGAATGGTTGAGTGAAAATAATTGCTGAAAATTTGTTAGCGCACGTATGGAGTAAAAAATTGAAAGGATTTTCGAGAAATGTTTTCAATCAAGCGGTATTTCAACAAAAAAAGGATTATACCTTGAAATATGCGTTCGTCGTTACGCGGATCGAAAAATATGCATTTAAATAACTAACCCAGTGCGCGCTCGAAAAGTAACAAAAAAAAATAAAAAAAGAGCAGTGTTTTCTAGTCGATGCGCTTCTAATTGTCTCAAACTGCGAAATTTTCAAAACCATAACTTTAGGAACTCTCGGAACGCTGCGTAGAGCACAAATATTCGAAATAGCTGCTCTCCTCGGCGAAAGGCAAATTCTCATCATAAATTACAGTTACAGGTATCTCTCTCTCTCTCTCTTTTGCGCGCGGCGTATATCGAGTGGTAAAATATGGGATGAACGTACGAGTGCACTCGCATCGCGCACTTGACTTTTTCCTCATTGAGACGCCGTACAAACATACTTCTACAGCTGCTGGCGCGCATTGGCGCGCGGCGGCAGAAGCAGTGCTCCTTCTTTCTACGCGAGTTTTTGAACATTATTATTATTACTTTTTTCTTTTTTTTTCATACAAGCTACGCTTTTTCCGGGTTGAAAAACATTTTTTTTTCTTTTTAAACTAGCCTGAATATATTAAGTATATATGCGCGTACCCGTGATT